TTCGATCAATCTAGCACCTTTTGAAGGGTCGTCAGTTTGAATCGTTCGATTAAGTTGGAGAAGCATGTGAAGAGTTCCTCAATTCGAAGGCGAAGAAATGGTCGGCTTTGACCAGATTCGAAGCTTGGCGGACCGAAGGCAGAAAGTCGTAGAAAACGATGGCCTTTATTTTAAAGATTAGTTATCATTGTTTTTGATTGAATTTCATGCATAAGTCTCAACTTTTTAACAAGTGCTCCCAAAATTTCTTTTCCAAGCTTAAAATTATCTCGTATTCCTTAATCAAATTTTACGACATGCCTTGTTAAGTAATCAAATTTGTTATCACGTACTTTTGAAACCACGTTTTACAACACGAATCTCTCCTCAGTTTTATATCATCTCATTCATGCACAGCTCAAAAGCCATCGGAATGATCACCTGTATCACCTGTCGTCCCGTTGATCGTCGAGTGACTGGAGCGGGTACCAGCAACACTTCCATTTTTTCTTATCGCGTGCAAGAGTAGCCCAGTGGGTCCTCCTCGCTCTAGGGATTCGCTAAAATGATCAGAAATTGCAAAATAATGGATGGTTTGGAAAAAGTGATACTGCATTGTTTGCTATGTCACTTCATCCATAGCTTTGAATAATGTTTCGCTTAAAACTGTACTGCACGAATGGGCCTCTATAAAATTACAGAACAAACTTTGTTTCATCCTTCTATGGGTATTCAGTCTCTAATGTCCAGTTATACTCTGCTATGAACATTGTTCATTGTTCATTGTTACAACCACTTTCGCAAGATAGGCGACAATAACACGCATTATAAGTTGGGAATGTATTCTCTTTCTGAAATTGTCGTTTTCTTACTGAAAACAGATAAGCGATACTCTTAGCTAATTTTCATTGATATCCCCTTTCTTGTTGACAACAAACTGCCTCTTATCATCTAAAATTCATTAGACAATTGTCAACAAAATTCTCTATGATGTTTAATTGACGGGCTAACTACCCTCAAAGTGAGTGTATTGTTCCAGTCGCTTCTACAGCACACTCAGTCTTTCTCAAAGCCAAGCTTAGTGCTTAATTACTCCATTTCTCAAAGCAATCGAAAGCCTTTGATAGTGTGCTGGTTAAGCAAGAAGTATCACTGTACTAGAGGCAAAAATATACACTTTTTCAATGAAGTACTTCTCTAATTCAAGTATGCAAACTCTATGAAGGCCTACTCCAAGAACATTCTGAAAACTCCTCATGTATGATTTTTTTCTGAAAGTCGTACATTGCAGAAGAGGTGCTTCTGATTAACAGATTTACAACTTTGTCGAAATAAATGAGAAAGAGGAGTTAGGAATGCGTTATCATCCCGTCGATGTGGCTTTTGTACTGAGAAGGAGGAAACTTACAATTAACATGTTGTAGCTTCTCGTTCCGTTGAAAAGGAAGTCTCTCCAATAGCAATCTATCTTTTTGTCGATAAATTTTGCTCAGAATCAAAATTTTTTCTGTATCATTGTATCACCTATCGTCCCGTTGATCGTCGAGTGACTGGAGCGACTAACACAGCAGCACTTCCATTTTTCCCTATCGCGTGCAAAAGTGGCCCAGTGGGTTCTCGTCGCTCTAGCGATTCGCTGAGCATTATATCTTTCTTCTATACCTTTCTTGAAGAAATCGAACCAACGGGTCGGTGGTCTTCCTATAGAGTGCTTGATGTCCCGAGGAATCCACTCGGTATCGGCTCTCTTCCATGGGTTGTCATTGAAGCGTATCACGTGTCCGGCCCACCTTATTTTTGATATGCTGGCGTAGAAAACGGCGTCTTTGATCCTCGATCGCTGACGTAGGTCGCAACTTCGGATCGTTTCCCTCATTTGAGAGATACGGGATACTCCTAGCATCGACCTTTCGACTGCGCGTTCAATAACGTTCAAGTGAACTTCCATCCTGCTTACGTAGTGACCAGGTTTCTGCTGCATACGTTAGGGCACGGATAATCATCGAGTCGAAAAAGTGGGCACAGAGGCGGATAATTTTTGTTCTCTTCAGTACATCTTCGATGCTCTTAAAGGTTCCCCTAGCCGCTCGTTTCCTCCTGCTCAACTCCGGAGCAAGGTCGTTCATCATTTTGATTTCACGGCTAAGTGAGACGTAACTGGAGCAATTGGAGATTTTGGCTTCGTTGAGCGTGAATGGGGCATTCAAAACCCATCCGTTCCTCATGAACATCGTTTTCGTCAGATTCAGTTAAAGACCAATCTTTCCACGGGCACTGAAATCGGTCAACATTCGTTCCGCTTGGCTGATGCTTGGTGAGGACGATAACATCAGCAAAGCGAAGATGGTTTAATTGCCGATCGTCAATTTTCACTTTGATATCTTCCCTTTCTAATGCTCGCATGACATTTTGGAGTGTGGCAGTGAATAATGTTGGCGAAATTGTATCGCTTTATAGAACCTCTCTTCTTACGTCGATGGTGATATTCTTGTAGAATGGAGATATTTTGGTTATGAAATTTTTATGCAGCTCACAAACGGTCATTATGTACCGAGTACGGACGCCCTGGCTATCCAGAGCCTCTCAGCCTCTTTTGTTTCCACTGAATTAAAAGCTTTCTTCAAATCGATGAAAGTGAATTAAAGCGGTAGATTACACTCTCGTGAAACTTTGATGAGTCTTATGAATGTGTGGATGTGGTCTATGGTACTAAATCCTTTTCGAAACCCTGCTTGTTCGCATGGATCTCCTTCGTCCATTGTTCTGTCAGTCCTGTTTAGGATGACTCGAGTAAAGAGTTTATAGGCAAGGAAAGCAAGCAGATTGGGTGATAACTGCCTATGTCGTGAAGGTCTCCCTTTGTGAACAACAATACGGTCTTGCTGGTTTTCCACTGAATAGGGACCTTGCATTCTGACAGGTAGCGAGTGAAGAGCCCAGCCAGGGTGTAGATGAGAACTGGCGACAGGTTCGTCAGGTGTTCTGGTCTAATCCTGTCGGGACCGAGTGTTGCTCTGTTCTTCAACGACAATATAGCATGTCGGATTTTGGAAGGCAGGGACCAGTGGAACGACTGATTCATCCTCTTTCAGTTAAAAAAAGCCGGTAAGAGGACATGGCTAGCGATGAGATCCGAGTGATACTGGTGGATAATTTTCTCCACTGCCCTTCTGGAAGTTGTAAGTGCCCCATCAGGGCATCGTAATGCAGTCATTTTGGTCTTATGATTGGCGAAGCCTCGCTGAGCTTTGCGAATGCTTCTGCCATAATTGCTGCTTGTCTCTGAGTTCTTTTATCGCTTCTTTGCAGCGTTTCGCAAGATCGGACGTAAGGCTTTGGTTGCCTGTAGCTCGTGCGATTTCACGTTGACGTATCAGCTCGGGTGTTTTTGGAGAAAAGAGTCTTTTCGTGACTATAGGACTCTCGGCTTTGACACGCCGTGAAAGTTTAACTTCATAACGAGGAAAATTTTACTGTGAAGTTGAAACGATGGACTTATAAAGCGAAATATAATCTTTATCTCGTTAGTATTATTCAAGACTTAAATCCTGTTGCAGAACCAAGTCTTGTACTGAGATATTCATTTTCCAAGCTATTGAATGACTACTGATCGTCTAGAGAAGAAGCTTTGTTCAGCAAAAAAGGCAGGAAACATGAGCATATTTCAGAGAGCGACTGCATTCCACTCAGCGCGCTTGAAAAGTGGAAATTTTTAGGATAACTGCGAGTTATTTTTACAAAAAAATACGCTCGCAGAAGGCTTTTCAGTATATTCAATTTTCTCTTGCCGACTAATTTGAATAGAATCGAAATTTCACTATACTGGATCAAAAAATCCGCTGCGAAGATGAAAGTACTGACTCATGGAACAAAACCTAATGTTCTTTTCGTTAGCAGAATGAGAACAAGATGGCCTCCAGAATCCAAGTTCAGTATTAATATTCGCATTTGTCATGCTATTGAATGACTATGAAGAAATATACGAAGCAAGAAAAAAATTTTACATAGCAGCCGGAAATATATTCTCTTGTTGGAAGAGTCTAACTTTCACCATGAAAGAGTGGAAAACTCGCAATACACGGGTGTTTTCTATAGTAAAGGAAGCTTCTCATAAAAGTCCTTTTTCTGATTTTCCCATAATTTAGTAATTATTTCTTCTTCAAAACATCAATTTATTCAATAAAATACATGATTTCCGCTGCGGTGTGCTCCAGTACGAACTAGTTGCAGCGCGCGCGCGAAAAGCATGCCCTAATTTTGGCCATCACCTAGTCGAGGAGATAGAATGAGAAGGATCGGTGTTCGACTACTGAGAATCCAAAACGGTCTCCCCGGCCGGGAATTGAACCCGGGTCTCCCATGTGACAGACGCGGATACCAACCACTATACTACCGAGGAATAGAAGATAAAGCATGCCTTAGCAAACGTGTATCATTACAAACGCCGTCCATCATCTGGAACGATAAGGATTAACAATCAACTATCAAAAATTAAAAATGTTCTCCCATGCCGGGAACTGAACCCGGTTTTGCGTGTGACCGACGCGGATAGTAACCACTATACTACCGATCACTGGAAGATAAAGCATGCCTTAGCGAACATGTGTCACTATAAAGCCGTCCATCATATCGAACGATAAGGATTAGCAATCGACTATCAAAAACCGAAAGTGTTCTCCCCGGCCGGGAATTGAACCCGGTGTTGCGTGTGACCGACGCGGATAGTAACCACTATACTACCGATCACTGAAGATAAAGCAAGCCTTAGCAAACATGTGCCACTGCAAAGTCGTCCATCAGATTGAATGATAAGGATTAGCAATTGACTATCAGAAACCAAAAGTGTTTTCCCCGGCCGGGAATTGAATCCCGGTCTCGCATGTGACAGACGCGGATACTAACCACTACACTACCAAGGATTTTAAGATAAAGTATGCCTTAGCAAACACGTGTCACTACAAAGCCGTCCATCAGATAGAATGATAAGGATTAGCAATCGACTATTAAAAACCGAAAGTGTTCTCCCCGGCCGGGAATTGCACCCGGGTGTTGCGTGTGACCGACGCGGATAGTGACCACTATACTACCGAGGACTGGAAGATAAAGCAGGCCTTAGCAAACATGTGTCACTACAAAGCCGTCCATTAGACAGAATGATAAGGAGCAATCGACTATCAGAAACCGAAAGTGTTCTCCCCGGCCGGGAATTGAACCCGAGTCTTTCGTGTGACCGATTGATCAACGCCGAGAGCTTTCTATCTTGTCGTTTCAGAGGGTAGTTACATGGGCTTAGGTAGCGTTTATTGAAGTGTTTGGGGGGCGACTACATTGACAAAACAAGGAGGTTATGTTGTATTTGTGTAAAAGACAGCCAGCAGCTCAGTTCAAAGTTAAACCAAACAACTCACTGAGGTGCATTGGACACCAGGCCATGATGAGAAAGATTTGAAGTAAAAGCAACCACCCATGTGCGAAAAATCCGGAAATGAAGAGCAAAGCGAGCGTCTTTTTTTCCACACGTGATATCGTGTCATACCACTCCTCGATTTCTTGATCTAAGACACATACCTCACCAATGTAGGACTCGGAGCGGTTGATCGACATCGGTGAGTCTTCGTCGGATGCTGTTTACCGCGCGAAGAAACACTTATGTGTCGAATTCTGTTGCTTCAGCTATGGTAGTGTCTGGCTAGGTAGATTGCACTTCAATCTGACTTCAGGCCTTGAAGGAGGCGATCTTGAAGGAGGCGAAGCCGCCGAAAAGTCAACCATTGTTACTGTTCTGAATAAAGTCGTACTATTGACAACCTGGTGACTGTTCATCAAGGAGAATCAAGGAGAACTCAGTAAGTGCCAAGGTTTTTCTGAATTTTACTTCTGCGAACTACTCAATTTTGAGTCTGCAAGTGAAGGTAATAATGCGTGATCTTTCCAACCTTCTTTGCCAAAGTTACTATTACTTGTTCTTTGAAAAATTTTTGGTGAAAACAAAATTAACATTAAATAGTAATGTTAGGCCATATGCAAAACTCCAAATCTCAAACGGAAATAGGATGGGCCTTTCGTCGTTGCATGCTGACCAATTGCTCCAGCTGGGCTCCTGTTCTTTCATCACTCTTTGTACGATGAAGCATAAAAATAACATTGTTTGGAGTGCATTTTAGACGCTTTGAGCAATACATAGGTTGTTCCTAAAACAACACGGCTCACAGAGATTGGTGTTTCTTCTGATAAAAAACCCAAATATATCTTGCTCATTGTACAGTGTGATTGAGCGCGTGTGGCATAGTTCAAAATCATCGACCTACAATCCACAAAAGATTCATCCGATATAAACTAGAACTACGAATGCAGCAACTATGAAAACTGAGCCAATTGTGATGACAACAGCCCTCTAGTAAGCCACAGCTGAACTACTCTAACTCGTGTATGCTCCTCGATAAGCGGATGCGCAGTTGCAAGTTCAATTAAGATAGTTTAAAAAAGTTAATTGCAGTGGTCATACAGATTTGTGATCCAACGAATGCTGAGACACAAGCAAACCTCGAAACCTCAAGTAAGCCTTGGACTTCCTAATACCCTTTTCGCGCATTGTTCTCTTTGGCGAGTGCACTGATAACACCGAAAATTAAGAATATAGGCAAAACATGTAAAATAATGGCTTTGGTAGTGTGACAGATAACACCTTAGTCCTCCGAAGGATAATCGCGAATCAGAGGCTCACCTATGCGCGTGTAAAATGTAATTTATCTTGGACTTTACAGCGTTATGAACAAATCTTTTCGAACAGCGGCCACCTACCGCGCCAACCAGAGTTTTACGCTTTCGAATCATTATCAACACAAGTATGAAAAACTCTTGTGCAACGAACGAAGTCGAATACTCATTTGTTCTCTTATATCTTAGGGAATCATCATTTGGTAGCATGAGTTTTAATGATTCCAACGCCGTGTTTAGTTTTTGGAGAGGCCGCTTAACTATTGTGTAGCAGGGAAGGTAAGATCTAGCTTCACATATTCGGTGAGCTTCTTTAGTGGATAATTCATATAACGGAGGGTGGGACGATCGACCAATGTCTGTTAGATAGCTGCGGTGTAACTTGTCATTCAATTGCGATTTTTTTCCACTTTGGAAGAAGCTCTAGATAAAACAATTGACTAAGATACTATGATATTTCGTCCAAACGTTCATATTCTTTTCGTGCTTCTTGCAAAATTCAAACGTGATAGAAATGAAGATGTAAAACATAGTTTTATTCAGAGCTATGACACTAAAAAGAGCTTAGGCTTTCAAATGGTTACTAACACTCTTATGAAATGTTCCTGAAGAGCGGATGAGGTCGAACGTTTATTTGATCCCTTATAACCGCAGTGAATTAATAATTTAGACTTGTAACAACTTCTTGTTCGTCCATAAAAAAGTGAGCGCGAGTGCGAGCGCTTTATTTCAAACCCATTTAGAGATTCGTTGCTATCACCATTACTGTTGAGCTTTCCTCTTATCTTAAGACAAGAAAAAAAAGAGCAGCTATTGCTGGAGAAAAACTTTCCATTCCAATTATAGCAATAATATGGAAGATCAAATTTCTGGCTAATGCGCTACGTGCTTGTTTTGTTTTTCTTGAAAAACCTATTTGCATCGCCGAGCAGAGACAGAAACTGTTGTGTTTCTCACACACACCAATTAGCAGGGCAGAAATCTCTCCTAATTCATAAGTGACCATTCAATAGTGTGATTTCGCGTTTCTAACGCTCCGCTTGATTTCTGGAAAGACTGCTTCACTGCAGCGTAGTAGGGAGAATGAGGTCCAATTTCACCTACATGGCGCATTTCGGCAAAATCATTCATCGACAGAAAGAAAATTTATTTGGATAATTCGGTAATCCATATGCCACTTTTCTTTTTTGAACAAGTTTATCATCAATCAACTCCATAGCGGGGTGAAAAACAATTTCATATTTCAACTTTTATTTCTTGCCATTTCTTGTTTCATGGAGGGGGCGATAATAAAATATTACAAGATTGCTGTAAAACGAACAAAATTCAAAAGCATAGGTGAGCTTCTAATCCGCGATTATCCTATCGGAAGACTAACTTGTGATCTGTCACACTAGCAAAGCCATTATTTTACAGTTTTTTGCCTATATTCTTAATTTTCGGTGTTTTCAATGCACTCATCAAAAAGAACAATACCCGAAAAGGGTACTAGAAAGTTCGAGGCTTAATTGAGGTTGCGAGGTTTGCTTGTGTCTCAGCATTCCTTGGATTCCAAATCTGTTTATCGACTAATAGTGGACCCACGAATTGAATCCAGCAACGTTCCTCTAGACATTTTCTTTTCTAAGCTGCTACAGACAAGTTTTTGGCTTATATTTTCGTGTGTCTTCTTATGGATATTTTCCACATAGCAAGCCGTGTTAGTTGTGCAGCAATAAGATCAGGCTTCCGCTCCCTTTTTATCTAGAGTAACGCCTTAGATCTGATACAAATGTGATCCGAAACCCTTACTTGAATAGCGGAGACACTTACGGCTCAACGTCTTGATCATGCGCCGAGATTTGACTGGTGGTTTGCATCGAAGTGTTTTGAGTTTTATGAGCGCGGAATTGTCATAGCGGCTGTCAAAGAACAGTTGATTAAATTCGATAAGCAGTGAATAACTGCCAAAAACATGCTGTACATCACATGCGATCCCACTTCATCGATAACTTACAATGAATTTTTTGGTTACTAGTTTTTGCAAAGGTTGAGACCCTACTGAATACATAAAACACTTTTTTTTTATCGTTCTATTTATTGTGATTTCTTACCGATTTCACATTCCCAATGTAGGTCTTCCTCGTCAAATGTTACTCTTTTGGTTTCCTCTGCCTCGCCCAGTCCCCACTGTTCAGATAACTTTGGTAAGAAGACCGTCTTTAGTCAGTTGCAGCTTTTCATCAGTATACCAGAGTCTTCATCCGTAATCTTTCTCAGTGTATGTAATCATCGACTGTATCATTGCAGTGTCTTTTTTCCTTTGCGTATGTCAATCCTTGTTTTTGAGGATACTGACTTTGACATTTAAGCAAAGGAGATTCGGTGGGTGATGGTCAATTTGTGCCGCTTGATACCCTCCTCAGTCACCTCCCACTTTTCTGCAGAGAATTAGGAGCGTTTTCAAACAGCGTTTTGTGCTATTGTCACAAGGCAGTCGATTTTCACGAAATGTTCTTGAGCTTGTTTGGAGATTGATTTTGTAGCAGCCATACATGCCACTCAAATTTCGACAACCTCAGTTTTGAACCGCTATTATACCGACAGACAGATTTTCCAACGTCATAAATTGCGGCATCTAGCACTTGTTAGGTGGTGCTATCAAGAACACCTTGTACAAGATACGCCAGCTGCTGTTATTTGTCAGCAGGGATTGAAATGATGTGTATAGAAAGTGAGGAATTTATTAACTGACGAATATGCCGCCCATTGAAGAAAGTGAAGCAGTGCCACTACTTTCTTTGTAAACAGAACAGATATGCAGCAATTCAAAAGTTCGACTTTCTATAAACCTTGGCATAATCAATTGATATATGAAAATGGAGAAAACTTATCTTGATTAGCTGACGCGAGGTTGGTAAAGCAGTTGTAGAAATTCGGCTGACGTTTCGGCGACCCGCCTTCTCCAGAGCCTGGACGTATATAGTATTAGTCTATTTGAATGATTCGGATGGTCTTATTTATATGCTGCCTGCAGGCAAATAGACTAATACTATATACGTCCAGGCTCTGAAGAAGGCGGGTCGCCGAAACGTCAGCCGAATTTCTACAACTGCTTTACCAACCTCGCGTCAGCTAATCAAGATAAGTTTTCTCCATTTTCATATAACAGATATGGATTAAAAGTGCTTGAAGTATGTGATGATAGAGGATACACCTACAAATAGATGATATACGCAGGCGCGAGCACGAATCTTAGATCAACCGGGCGTCGTGCAGACGGTTTTATGATGAGCCTAATGGGCCACCGGCTATATGAAGGGAGACATTTTTTTGGAGACAGCTGATGAACTAATTTCCCCAGCCGAATTTCTAACGCTAAAAAAACTTAGCCGAC